CACACACACACACACACACACACGCGCACAGGACAAACAAGAGAGGCTGTTTATTGTGTGTGTGTGTGTGAGAGAGCAGGGCGTTAAATGGCTTTTTCTCCACATCCATCAGCTAGCAAAACGCTGCCAAAGCGGCGGAGGACGAGGCGGATTTCCTCGCCAAAAACGGGGAAAAAAAATAATAAAAGAGGACAGAGGGAAAGGTGTTAGATTAGAAATGGCGTGCCTCACACGGGCGGCCTTCTCCGGGACGCCGGCCAGACCCCCCCCCCCCCCCTTTTGTTTGCACCTTCCTCTTGTCACTGGGAGTTTTCTGTCTCTGTCTTTGCCAGTTCGGGTCATTTATTGCTCCGTCTTAAAGGAGGGGGAGATCTTTGGGATCAAATCTGGGTTCGAAAGCAGGGTTCGAAATTCGTGGGAATCTGGTGTTAGCCAGCAGGGCTAACCCAGTGAAAAAAAACAGTATATGCGTTTGCCCCGTAATTTCTAATTTATTTCCATTTAATTGAACTAAGCCTCCTTTTCTCCTGTTCTCTGCGGATTTATTATGTATTTTTTTCAGATTTCTAATAGAAGATTCTCAGCTACAATATTGTTTGGTGATAAAAATAAGGACACGCGTGTCTTTTGGGACATTTTTTGGGAGGTTTTGGGACCAGTCGGATGGGTTTAAACTGTGGGGATCGATCCGGTTTCCTGCCGTTCACTCGTCTCTCTCAGATTTGAAGCCAAACTCAGGGTACGAAAATGGTGGGAAAATGGTTTTAGCTAGCAGGGCTAACAGCTCTGAAAAGTTGTTAGCTAGCTGACCAAAAGCAGCCCGATTGGCTCTATTCTGTCACGTGGGACTAAATCTGAATATTTCTTCGTAGCCTCGCGTCATATTACATACAACACGCGTCATACAACACACAGAAAATGGTCTGTCAGCAGATCTAATATGATATTATTATTATTATTATTATTATATTGTAATATGATATTATTAAAAACGTTCTCAGTTCCTCTCGCTTGGCGGCGCGACCACGTCATACCTCCAACGATTCCATAAAAATGATCATAAACTGGAAGATAGCATGGAAGACAATGGATTTCAAACGAAAACTTTTTTTTTTTTTGTTGATTCCCTGTTTGTTTTGCATGTATTTGATATAAAAACTTAAAGCGATTCCCCCAAAATAAGCCGCAGCCCCTCTGTGAGTCCCCGTCAAAGCTGGGAAAAACGGTTTCAACATCTCCGCCTCGGGTTTAAACCGGTTTTTTAAATGTTTTATGGCGTTCGCAGTCATCCTGACGTCTGTTTTTTGGCTCTAAAGTGACGAACGAAGTCCCTCTCTGTAGTTTTAAACTCTGTGAAAATCGTTTGGTCTCCAAGCCGAAGCATCACAGGTCAAAGAAACAGAAAATATTGAATTTAGTGCCATAAATGGCTAACTACAGGTAGCTGAGCCGCCCCAATACCCCGGTTTTCTTCCACAAATCTGCGAACCTTCTTTATTTTTACTCAGCCCGACGCTTTATTTGGATAAATCTCCGGCCGGCTGCGTGACTCCATCTCTGAAACACAAAGGAGCTTTCCGAAGCGCAAAACCTCATTCATCCCAATGAAAGCTGCTTTTTCTGGCTCCTTTTTTTTATATTTACATGAAAGCCCTCGCGCCGGGTCTCGGTGACTTGCTCAAGGACACTTCAGCAGGATGGATGTTTGCTGACGTGCGCTCGAACCGGCGTCCTTCAGCTGAAGGACGGACTTTGGTCCGTTCAGCCTCCTCTTTTCAGCGGCCAAACGGACGAATTTCTTCGGTAAAAATGGTCCTTTCGGTCGTGGAAACACTCAAAATTCATCCAACAATCGAGTGAAAGCGTAAAAAAGGAGAATACTTTGCTTTGTGGGGTCTGCTGTCTTTTATAAGAGCTTAAAAACGTGGATTGGTACTTTTTAAATGGCGACTTTTGGTAGCGAATCCACGGGCAAACGGCACCATTTGTAGACCGATTTAGCGTTTT